TCAGTGAAAAGACGGTCACGCAGAAAGAATCAAGCATTGAAAAACAAGGTTTATGAGGGAGGATTTCGAGAGTTACCAGAAAACAAAAGGTTGAAAGGAGTGCTTTAAGTTACGCTTAAGGAGGTTTGCCTTTTTTTGCAGCAGTGTATCAGCCGAAAATAAAGTTCTCCTTCCTAGACCCAGCCTGTGAAACCCACACAGCACCGCTGTATCCCCCGTTCATCACCCGCACCGCTGCATTTTCAAACGTGCTCCCCCTGAAAGTTACTCCGCACTTAAACTTCAGCAGAGTCGGCGGCAGTAGCAGCAGCACCCGGACAGGTCTGTGGAGCCGCCTCCCGCCCAGGACGGGGCAGCGCCGGGGCCGAGCGGAGGTGGCGGGGCGGCCGCCCGGGCCCGGGCGGGGCGAAGGGACGCGCGCGGAGGACCCCCCAGACCCGGGCATGGGGCACTCACGGTCCTGCAGCGGCTCCTCGGGCAGGGCCAGCCGGGCCCTGCTGCTGCTGGAAGGAGCGCAGGGGACTCGAAACGCCATCGTCAGCTTCTCCATGGTGGCCAATCGTCCTTCGCCGCGCGCCCCACCGGACCGCGCTCAACCCCCTCTCGAGGGCGCCCCAGCGGGGCCCGAGCGCTGTCTCACCGCCGCTGCCGCCGCCCTGCCCCCGCGCCGCGCAGTGCCGGCGCGCGCGCGGCCCGGCCCGTCACAGCCGCGATGAATGGGCGGGCGCTGCCCGGGGCCGCGGCCGCCTCCGTCCGCCCCGCCGCCATCTTGGACCCGTCCGGCGGCCCCCGCGTCGCCGCCGAGCCGCCCCGCCCCACCCGGCTGCGTCAGGTGCGCGACAGCGGCAAAGGGGCGGAAGAAACAGGGAGAGTGACAGCCGCTCTGTCCCAATCAGAGAGCGGACCCCGCCCTCCCTGCGCGCCGGAGCCGGCGGGAGGCGCCGGGTCCCAGAGGCCGCCCGGCGCTGCTTCCGCGGCGCCGCCCTGGTGGCGGAAGGCGGGCGTGACCGCGGCCCGTGAGGGGCCGGACACCCGCACCTTCCTCAGGGGGTACTCCCCGCACTCGCACAGCACACGCTAAACACACAGGATACAAGAGACAGTATACAACATTTAAATAATTGATTAGATTACTAAGCACTTAGAAATAAAATCAACAGTACTGTGAACTTTCCAATTATAACCACTGATTTTAATACATCCACTCGCTGAATACAGATTGTAAATGTCAGCTGATGAGACCCCGTAATTCAACTTATATCTCAAACACATGAAACTGGGTGCCAGCAATGGAAATGGAGAACAGGTCTTGGAACTGTTAAGAAAAGAAATTTCCAGTCATTCCACTTGGTTATTGGTAGCACATTCGAACAAAAGAAGCAAAGCTCATGTCTCTGAATATTCAGGCCAACAGAAGTCATCACAGATCACATTCCTGCCAAATATTCAGTAACTCAGCGCTCTGCCAGTTAACTTTATTAGCATGTTAATAAAAGACAAACCATTTGAAACATTCCTCTGCAGTAAACCTATCCACAGTACTGAAAGCAATTCAGCTTAGAGCAAACCCCTATTTCATTATAAACGTGTAACAAAATGTGAGCTTCTAAGGTAAAAAAAAAATTATATTTTTCTCCGATAAAGCTTGCAGAAAGGTTTCTCTGGAACATGTGGATGATCATGAATTTTTTATTTAGCAAATGATACACGATAGAAGGTGACAGCAGAGCTGGAATGCTGCACACACTGTGTTAATTGCATGTGTCACTCCACACTTTCAAATAAACTTAAGCACATTAAGAAGAGCATAAGCTCTTATAAAAGATTAAACAAGCTACCAACCAAGGCGGTCCTTGCAAGCCTGCTCTGAAGCTTTAGATCAAATGTGTGCCAGTCCCCTATGGGCTGCTGACTCACTGGCAGGAGCGCAGAGGCACTGCCTGCCCACAGGCACATCCCTCTTTGTTCTTGTCCTTCCGAACCGGATCGGCAGCGGGAGCCCTCTGGCTCATCGAGCAGGAGTTGAGACAACTGTAAGACAACTCGGGGGCATCAGGTTTTTCTTTAGTGAGTACCTTTATCAGTAGGTACTCCCAATCCAAATTTACTGCCCTGTGGTTTGGCATGTGTCGTGTCACTGATCCTGCCCCACAAACAGCCGCACTGGCAAAAATAAAGTCATGTAAAACAGGCAAGGGGCAAGAAAAAGCAGGCAGGGTTAGAAATGGGCATTTTTGTAAAGTTAGCATCACCTCAAAGAAAAACGAAGTCACAATTTCAATGCATTAACAGTGCACACTTTAAAGATTATATGAAATTTAGTGGATGACAATGAAATAATCTCAGCCTCTCGGAGAAAAAAAAAAGGAACATGCTCTTACCTTGTCTATAAGGTTACCTCTGAATCTAATGTTTTTAAGAACAGGTTGGACAAGCATGTCAGGAATATTTTTCACTGTCCTGAAGTCACGCTTTGGCCAGTATTTCTGCATTTCTGTGAACGATTCACCAGGTAATTGGTACTACTCAAATAATCCAACAGACTTCACAAGACTGCTGGCCCACGTGGTTTGACATAGGCACAGATAATCTGCAACATTTCATAGCACAGTTGTATTGTTGTTAAAGTAATTAATTTGAAGCTGTTTTGTAGAGCATTTCAGCACTTAGTCCTTTAATTCATGTCATAAAATTACAGTAAATGTGTTGATGAAAAACAGCCCGTCCCAGTAATTTTTTCTGCAAACAGAAATTCATGCAGAAATCCAGATTCAGACCATGAGATAAAGTATCAGCTGAGTCAATATAATAAAGCTAGGGCACTTTTTCCTGGATTGGACTATCTTACATTTGTAAAAAACTTACAGTATGCAATACATATTTTTTGCTTCAAGAAATTGTAAATTTTTTTTTCAAATTACATTTTTTCTTTTTATTCTATCTCAGATACCATGACAGACATGGTAAATAAATCACATTAGACAGTAATAGATGTGGTTGAGATATGCGGCAGTGTTTTGCTTTTATTTCAGGAATTACAATGTCAGAACATCCAGGAAAACAGCTCACACAAGAACAGTCAGTGGTTTGGAGATGCTGGAGATAACACATCACATTTAACAGTCAGCTTCCTATGCCTTGAAAGAATTCTGGTGCTTTGGACACATCTGGAACATGACAGAAAAAGTTACCTACATCTCATGTGCAAAACTCAAGTTACACTATAAGAACAATTATTTATGTACAATAAAAAAGAATTGTACATTCAGCAGAAGAGACATCATAAGCACCAAAATAAGCCAGGCAGGTAATTCAAGTCAAAGTAAACATGAATTCTGTTTAAAGATGCTTTCCAATCATTCAAATTTTCGAGGACTTCCTAAAGAGAAGTATTTTCTGAAAATCTATACTAAAATGAAAGTGGTAATTCCAATGTTAAATTAATGTAACACTAAATTGTAAAACACAGAAAAATATTCCTTCTGTTGACTTATTTTAGTAACTTGTAAATAAGTATTCTCTCAACAAATGGCAATGAAAAATTTCTTGTATTTCTTGTTCACTGTTGTTTGAAAAATAATTGGAGTGCATTCTAAGAATGGATTGCTACTGTATTTAATAGCTTCTATCATTGATTTATAAATTAAACAATTTCATTCTGAGATGGAGGCAATTCTCTTTCATAACCCTTCAAAACCACTGTTTTAAGACTGATTTGGGAAAAAAAAAAAAAGACAACATCTATTAAAGGCTAAGATTTGTCAATAATGCTGTTGTCACAGAAATACCAGGTTTTTTCCTATTTAATATTATTTTTAAATTCTCGTTTTTTCAGCTGAGACTGTTTTGTTGTTGTTATAATCCAGAAACATAACACTATCTCTGTAATGAGCACTACACCTCAGGGGGGCCAAGGGGAGGAAGCTGACAATTTTTTTAGTAGGAAAAAACCCAACCCTGAGGCATGAAGATTCTATTCTGTTGGTCACAACATTCAAAAGCATTAAGTAAACCAATAAGATACTGGTACATTGTTTCACAGTTTCTGAATTTTGAGCTAAACAGAGATTCATGAGGTACACACAAGCAGACATTGAGACTTATGTACACAAATGCTTGGAAAACAAGCCCCAGAAAAGGAGGGTTGATCTCACACAAATAACTCCATGGAATTCCATAGATCTTTCCAAAGCTTGCACCAACTGGGCTATTGGATTGTCTCACTGCTATTAAAGCCTTCAACACATAGATCTAGAATCTCAATGAAGTCATACCACATAACAAGAATTTCCTTGGCTTTCCCCCCTCTCCCCCCACAACACTTTATTGGGAATGAAAGGCTACATAAATCAGTCAACACAACCTCCTGCCTTCCCCTTCTTTGTCTCAGTTGTGTCCTAAAAAAATCAAGATGTAAGTTCATGTTAAATTTATCACACCACAATATTTTGCTTTCAGGTGTTCTCCCTTTCTCCTTACCCCTTTCCCCACTTTCAAAAGGCATCTCCAAGCTCCCAATACTCCAATGAAGACATTTAACCCATGTTAGTCACCTTAAACACCAAAACATCTTCATCTCCACGTACCGTATAAGGAGAGTTATGTTGATCCTTCCAGTTTCCTGTCTTTTCTAATTCTTTAGGGGATTCACGTTAGATAATATCTAGTCATTATTATGTGGTTGTATTTCTAGCTAAAGGGGACAAATTTTTAGCAGAAAAATGCCATTTTGAGCCTACTGGGGAAAAACCAACCAACCAAGAAAACCCAAACCTCAAAAGGAATGGAATTTAGGTCTGAATCCTGCAAACGTAGTCCACTCAAAACCAGTTCAAAATTATTATTGAGAATTGATGAAAAAACTTGTGAAATTAAACAAAGTAAAACTTCATAAAAACAAACAAATCCTCCGCTTTTTTACAAGGAGTTCCTTGTCCAAAGAAGCAGACATGTAAATAACCACTTTTTAGGAACAACTTCCCTTCTCTCTTCATCTAGTCTTTTTTTTTTTGCAGAACCCTGGAGAATGTGCTGTCTCAACACTCCAAAATAGAGAAGTTGATTTGATTTTTTTTAAGTTAAGATTCCTCTCCATCCAATGAGGAAAGAAAATTTGAAATACATGATAAATAAACTTGCAGATATTTTTTTTTTAATCTATTAAAGCCCATTCCTGTATTTTCTTCATAAAATTTACTCAGCTTGTGTCCATGGTATTCTTGCCCAATTTCAAGTTGTTCTATGCAGATATTAAACCCACTCTGTCACCCCATTTGTCCAGTCTTAATACAGCCCCCTTTGCCTCAAAACAGCAAACCTAAGACCTTAAAAAACTAATCCCCTTAATCAGGGAAATGATGACTTCTGCAATCAGGTAGGTATTTATAAAACACTTTTACTACTTCCCCATTTTTCCATTCCCATCTCTTTAGAGTCCTTCTATTACTGTGGTACAAAATTAAGAGGGTCAGGTCAGACCATGCCAGCTCATTGTCTCACACATAATGGTTCCAGCCAACACCCTCACTTCAGACATTTCTCTTTCTGTCAAGCCTCCCATCCCTTCACTATTACATCAGACCATCTTCCAGTAATTCAGTCAAACTCTCTCTCCCTCTGCCAATTTCTTTGTACTTTCCACAAGTCATTTTGGTGTCCTGTGTGCTGCTGTAGACTGCAGGAAAAATGCACTAACAACATAGGAAAAGAGTCTCTCATTCCTTATTTCTGTGGCAATTTCAGATAGACACCAGCTGAGCCCCAGTAGGGTTCTGTAACACACTGGTTTTTCAACTTTTTTCAAATTCTAATCCACCAAAACATTTGTCTTTAGAGACCAAATACTGTGAATTAAAACCTGATGATGGGCTTGACAACCAAATGTATGTTGTGAGTTTCTCAGAAGCAGCTTAAATTTCTTCCAGTGGGTCTGTGGATCACAAGCAGAGACCTTTTTGAGGTGGGGCTACTCAGTTGCTCTGTGTGTACAATACATGTGTGGTCTGGTTGGTGCCCCAGAGATTTGAGAGAAAAAAAAAAAAAGAATGTTCAGTGGAGACAAATCTTCAGAATACAGAACAAAATATGTAACTAAAGTCATGTCTCCAACTCCAAGAGCATTCCATTATATTTTAAGTCCCTAACTCAAATTTTGAAAACAGAAAAGGCTCTTAATGAAATGTGCTCTTTAAATTGACTCTCACACAGAGATGAATAGTTTTACTGGAAACCAAATAAAAAGTCTGGCATGTGTGAGTCCAGAAGAACGGAAGTTTGACTAGCTTTCAGGTACCTTTTATCAGTTTTACTAATGAACATCAAGTAATCATAACAAACTTCAATACCAGCTCCACATTTGTGTTAAGCAATCATTAAAGGCAGGTTTTAATGTTTCTGTTTTAAAAGGTTATAAGAAAAAAATATTTACATAATTAAATTTGCTACTTTAAATTATCTTGCCCTTTCCTCAGTGGCAGTGATCGCTGTCAACCCCACAACATTGCATATTACAACATAATAAGCAGAGAGGAGGTTAGTAAAAAGAGCCCATGTTTTGTTTTTTAACCCATTACAAAATTATAACATCCTAAAGAGAGTTAAAAACAATTTCATTTACAGAAAAAAATAAAAAGGTGTCCCCACAGGTATAAAGAAATCCTTTCAGTAAAGACAACACACTTTTCAAAATATAGTTACAAAATTTTGGCATAGGTTCCTGCCAAGAAACTGTATGAAGAGGATGTGTAAGATGGGTAGAAAAAAGAAGAATGGGGCACTGCAGTTTGTCACAAGATTAAGCTAAATGTTCAGAATTCTCTTTATACAGAAATACAGAAAGATATTCTACAGAGCCAGATAGTAAAGAGCAATTCCTAATAGCTGGTCACAGTGCACTGAATTCCTTTTTTTTGTCTTAGCAGTTGCTTGAGAGATACATTAGGTAATAGCACTGCCATGCTGCTGGATAGTACCAGAATTATTAAATTCATCAGTACAGCAATTTTAAAGTTAAGAAAACTGCTAATAAAGATCCTAATTAACAAAAAGAGTTTTACCAGGAACAAACAAAGTCAAGTTACACTGATGCCATAGGTATTATCTCTGTGCTTTAAAATCCTTTTAGTATTCCTAGATTCATTCCACTGAGAAAAAATTAATCAAGATAAATCAAATACATACAGAAACACACTCACTCAAATGGCACTCATTGCTTTTTGTACAATTAAGCTTTAGTGAAAATATACATCTTAAAACAAATGAAGTACAAATGTACAAAAATCCTTGAACTCAGATAAAAAATATATATAATACAATTTGCTACAGAGATATAAAACATTTAACGTTTGCTCATCCTTTCTGATGAGAGTAAAATGATTTAAAGTCTGGAGGACTCCTGCTCATCATCACTGCAATCAGATTTAAAACAGACCTGCAAGAGAAGACAAACAGACAACTCAGCTGCAGAACCGACACAATTGTTTATTTATGTGTTTTATGGGCAAGGGAAAGGCTGGAAGGGTGGCTCTTTCTCCAGCACATTTTATTCCATACTAACTAAATGCTTTAAGAAAAATCAAAGGAAGCCACAATCCAACCCCAAATCTCAAGTCATTAAAGTTTCATCTAACCTTAAGTTCTTTCCTCCTTTTAACTTCACAAGACAACTAACTACAGTCTTATTACTTCAAAACCAACTGAAAACTCTCAAACCATATTCATTTTTTTAGGACTCTTTCTCAATACATAGAAACATATTTTGGGACAGTATGAATCCTGCTGATTTGGCTGGAAAAGACTACAGTAAGACACAAGCTTTATCTTTAGCTGAGATTATTAGTACACTCAACCATCCCTCCTATTCCACCTACTGTAAGTGGGAGAAAAGTGAATTTGAAAAGGTAAACTAAAAATGATGGTACTATTATACATTCCATTAGCATTGTATCATTTTAGGAAGGTGAATTGCCAGCTGAAGACAAAAAATTTCTTCATACAATTTTAATACATGGCCCTGCTGTGGCTACTTAACGATACACTCTGAGCTATTTTAAAATTCCATTTCTGCTTGAAAGCAAAAGTAATTTCTACCAAAGTGTTCGCTCCTGGAATATATTCATAGTTCTCAAGGTAATTCCACTCTAAGTGCAGGCACACTGAGCAAGCAGAATTGGGTAGAACATCTTCAACTGCAAACCTCTTTCTTACATCCTATAGGCAAACACAATGCACTGTGTCTTTTAGGTGGTAAATACTGACTTCTCTGAATGTTTACTAAAGAGTAGAAGTCAGGTGTGTAAGAAAAGGCTGTGCATTATCAGCTATGTGAAGATACGTTGTTGTTTTGTGAAGATACGTTGTTGTTTTGCTAAAGGCATTAAACTACTGCAGATATTTTAACATTTGTTTCATGGTGCTTCTTCCCACTCATTCATTTTGAGGATATTTCTACTTATTTACTTTTTTATTGGATATATACTTATTTTTGCTAAGTTACTTATATATGGTTTTACAGAGGGTCTCAATTACCTCTGAAGACATCTCTCCAGAAGTTTTAATTAAAAACTGGCAAAATACATAAGGAGCAAGCCCCAAATTAACCTCTTTAGTAAAGAAAGATCTGTAGCACAGCTTTTAACAGCACCCACTACCTTTCTCCCAGGCAACTAAAGGAAGGCAGAACGCTGATAGAGGAAAACCTCCTGGAGTTAAGAGGGATTGCCACAGTTTCTGAAACGCAGTGGAGGGGAAACCATAACAAACCAGATTTCATTAGTTTCAGTATTCAGCAAACAACTTGTTTTTCCTATCATAAAATAATATAAACAACCTGAATGGAAGTTAAGGTCTTGCTATTAATTTTCTTATGAAAGAAAAGAAATAACCTTACCTCTCCACTAAAGAGTCTGTGAAAGAAGCCTCTCTTTGGTTTAGGAGACCTCTCTCTGTCTGGTGACACAGTACCATCGGTTTCATACGCATTGATATCTTCAAAGCATCCCGTTTCAATCATCTTTGAAACATATGAAATATAAACAAAATGTCCACACAAGCCTCTCAAACAAGTTCCATGTATTATCTATTTACTCTGGCTGGGTACTCTTTAATTCATCAGCCAAACTACAGCCCTCACAGAGCTCCACAAAGGAGGCATGAAGCCAACACGGGCTCTCCCTGTGCACTCAACAAACTGATGAGTAGCAGTGAGAGACTATCACACAGGGAAGTACTCAGGTGCTCTCTTGTTTTGGTTGCATTCTTGCCTTTCTTCTGCCTATGATGCAATAAGCAGAAGTTCTTAGAACCACAAACTGATTTTCCTTTCGTGCATTCTGCTCATGTCAGAGCAATCTAGCCTAACACATGTAATATCTCTATGCCCTGAACTGAACTTAATTAATAAACGTGACACGGGGAAAAAAATTAGGTATAATGAAGATGGGTCTCTGGAGAGAAGAAAGGGATTTTGAAATAATCTTTGTCTGTATACACAGAAAATCAAAGAAATAAACCCACAATCAGTGGGTGCAGAAAGGACAGCAGGTGAATGCCAAAATGTAACCAACAGGTAGGGTCAGAAGGGGGGGAGTGGCTAATGCCCACATCTAGTTGGCATTTGTCTGTGAATGCCACTGGTACACATCTGTCACAACAGCATGGAACCAGATGAATACACCTTGTAGAAGGGAGAGAGGGTATAAAGAGGAATAGGAAGAAATGCACTCTGCTTTTAGTATAAACCATGACATTAATACAGTCATGGGAGGGCAAATGGAATTCTTGAAAGACCAAGCACAAAGATTTGGGGGAAGGTTCAGTAACATGAATTAAAATAAAAAATAAGCACAAATGTACAATGAAGTCTGCACAGTTATTCCTTGAAGAGAAGGAATTGCCATCACCAGAATTCCACAACTATTTCCAACTTTACCCAGCTATGCTGGGTCATTAAGCTGCAGTGCATTTTTTCATGACTAGATCATATTCTGAAGTTCAGAATTACAACATAGCATAGGAAATATCTATTTCTCCAAGGTTCATTTCTTCTTAGTGAAGACTTTCTATGTCAAATGACACCTTTTCAAATCTCCTTCTTAATGTAACACAAAAAAGCAAAAGGAAAACAAAAGGGAATGTACTTTTTTCTCCAAATTGTTTGAGAAATTGCTCATCTTTTGTGTTCAAGCTTTAAATAAAACCAATCATACTGGGAAAGAAACTATGCCTCTAGAATTCAAGACAATACTAATTTCAACTAACACCTTATAATAGGGGGAAGGCAGTCATAACAACAACTGTGATTTTAAAGATTTGTTACTGAGTGCTCTTGCTGAAATGGTAAAGAGGATTTGAACTGCATGAAGAGGTAGTAAAATTCTAGTATTCTATGCAGAATACTCGAATAGTCATTCACTAGGCACATGAAAAAGCTCTAAGAGAAAAGTCTGACTCAACTGATATTCGGTTGTTTGTTTTGAAACCTTGGAAAAGGTGAGTCTGCAATTCTGTATTACTGTGTCAGTTGAATCCTCTATTGATACACAGGTACCATATACAAAAAACTTGCACTGTGCCTATTTGCTTTTGAACACTTGGAATAGCATTCCATCTCTCTCCTGTGAACAGCAATACTGAACAACATGTGATAGAAGAACAAGGAAAAGGTGGTCCTGCTGAAGTTAAATACTGTTCTGAACACTGTATCTGTGATGACATGATGTCAGATTCTATTTATGAAAATTTACCATAGATCTCAGTTTTTAGCAAGCTGCTTATGTTTTGGGAAAAACTTTCTTTCTGAAGTCTTTAAGCAAGGAAGTCTACAGCAGAAACTTCTTTACAGCTTAGAGAGAAAGTCAATACTAATTATATCCTTTATTAAATCCTCTGTATTGCTGTACTAAGGAAAATAATCTTTTAAGAAATATACATTACCTCATTTTGCCAAGGGATGGAGACACAACCCGTAACAAACTTGGAATAGAAGTCATCATCTGTAGTATCCAGGTTCACTCCTTTTACTGTTGAGAACTGCTCTATGTCCAGGACATCTTTACAATATACAGCACGTGGCTGCAGTACAAGACAAGATTGATTCATTAAAGTTTTGGGGTTGGGTATTTTCTAGTTGGTTTTTGTTTCTCTATATGAGCAAAAAGGGAGTAAAATACCTGCAATTTTATATTTCACAGTGCTGATCACCAAATTACACTATGCTACAAAACAGAAATATGAAAACTTAAAAGAATTTCATGACAAGGCACCTGAACAATTTCATCCATCGAGCAAGTAACAGAAAGGAAGTATCAAAACCTTCCCTGGATTTCTTAATGGTTGTCATAGTTCACTCATCTTCTGTCACCCTCCTTTCAACTCCAGAGTATTTTCTTCAAACATATTTCTCATTTGTTCTGCATCTGAGCTATGGAAGTGGACTTCTAAGGACTAAGAAATCAGCTGCAAAGCTCCCTAGAGAAATGCCAGTATTGTAAATAACTTTGTGATCTCAGATGAAACCATACAAAAAAATTAGCTCTTAATAGCTACAATGGCATTCTCCTGCCAATTTAACTAATTGTAAAGGTTTCTCTGGGATCATATGATTGCTGACATAGAATTATGACAGTTCTTGCCTTTTTAGATACTAATCAAATCTGTCTCACCTACTTACATCTGGCAAGAATGGAGGTTCTAACATGTTTGCTTCCAGCCTCTTGAAGTTAATGTTCCTGAAAATAGGATGTTGCTTTACAACAGCAGCTCCATCTTCAGTGCAACCCAGTCGCTCCCCTGGATTTTTAGCAAGCAACTGCAAAGACATGGGGAAAAAAAGCTGATACATGATATAACCCCACAATTAAAAAAATTCTACATACGATGTCTTTCAATAAGTTTATTTTGCTACTTGGTCTTTTATTAGATAAAATTTATCAAGTATCAAAACAAACTGGAAATCCAAATGACAACATTCTGGGAACAGTAGAAAAAAGAATCCCTGAAAGTAGACCATTTGAAGATTATACCCAAAGTTATATGAGAATATTTTAATTGATGCTATGCTGAATAGATTTTACAGTAGAGACGCTGCAGTAGACTTTTCTTTCAGGAAATACAGAGTAACTTTTTTCCAATGGGCTTAAGTAATGCACAGATTTTGCATAAACTAGTGCAGAAAGCTTTCTGTATAAATTTAAGATCAGGCAAGACAGAAAAAAAGCTCTTGTTTTGTAGACACTCTTTTAGGTGAGCAAACTAGTGTACTACTCTGCCACTTCTTCCCTTGCTGTATCCAAGCTGAGCTGTTGTACTCCATCTATAATTACATGTGGTCCTAACAGCACTGGACCATTTCAATCATGTGATAAAAAAATCAATTTATGCAGCTTTCCCTTCTGAATGAAGACATTAAAACACTGTAGTTGATCTCTTTAAAAGGATTAGAAATTTAATTTTCAAACCTCTACATCTCTTCACCCACCATCCTGCAGATGGATTTTGCCTCCTCTGAGAACTTGTCTGAATATGTTTCCTGGTCTTCCTTTACTCTCCGGTCAATCTCATCCCGTTTGACCCTTTCCTTATGCTTCCTGAATGGAGACTGTCCTTCAATCATTTCATAAATCAAGCAGCCAAGACCCCACCAATCCGGACTGAATGTATACTTTTCATTTTTGAGCACTTCTGGAGCTACAAAACAAAACCAAACACACATCCATGACATTTCACTTTAAATTGACTAATAAAATATTGGAAAAACTCTCAGTTACCCTTCTGGCTCTGTGCAGAGATGTTTGTGTAGTTTCTCTGCACTTTGAAGAAATGTTAATTTCTACAGTAAGGACTGTTTGTATCCAAGAGAAGAACTAAAATTCTTTAATGCTTAAGTCTAGTATTGTTTACAAACTAAGAATAAGTTTTTCCAAAGCTTGGAAAGAAATGTACTGTCACAGTAATCCACCTCTTACCTGTGACACTAAATCTCTTTGAATCTCAGAAAAAAATTAGGTGCTTTCTTGAAGTTCTACCTAAAGCTAGAATTTTCAGTTAAGTTTTCAAGTTTATCAGTAGGCTTAAAATTGACTACTAACATCTACCACTTTCTTCTTCTCATAGCATGTCTAGTAAGTAATCCAGGCCAAATACAGTTCTCTGGACAAGCCATTCTTATATTGACGGGAGCAAATTTTCTGGTAAAATGTAACAAGCAAAGGATACTTTACATACCCATGTAACCCACGGTCCCAACTCGACCTCTGACCGTTTCTCCTTCTGGAATCTGCACAGCTAATCCAAGATCTGAAATTCTGATATGCCCTATTTATGTTAAAATAAATTATAAATAGTCAGCAAATAATACAGAGTCATCACTGAAAAAAATTCCGTACAGCACTTCATAAAAAAACCACCCCAAAACATCAAAAACATTCATATACTCATATCACTAAGTTTATTTAATTTAAGTAGAAAGGAGTGATTTTTTATTATTATTCAACTCCTCCTTAAATATGTAAAGAAAAAGAGGTATAGATCTAACTGATTTCCTGAAGATCACACACAAAAAATTTGCTGTTGAGCACTCTAATTCCTAGTTTTGGCATAGGCTGCTGCTCTAGGACAAACAGAAATAATGACTGCTCGTTTCAGATTCTGTATCTATGCATCAGACACTTGTATTTTTCCATTCTGTACTCCCACCACAAAAACTTAGCTGACTTCCTAACAAAGCTTCAAAATTTACTTAACTTACTCCAAATGTGAGAAGACTGTAGCCTGTACTGAGACACCCAGTTTTCCTCTCACAGAGTACTCTAATAATGCCAAGCATGAGTACTTGGAATTGCTATTCCCACTCCCACCCCAAAACAAAAGTAGCTGAGTCAATAACCTACTTAGAATTATTTATATGTACGTGTCAGTTCAATAGTAGGATTTCCCCTTCTCATGAATCACTCCTAAGTAGATAACAGCTTCTACCTCACTTTATCAGCCAAACTTCTCAAGCTGATTACTGTCTCTATTAGTCACACATTTACACCAGTACCTACGATGTAGAAATCACGTAGTGGAAGACTGATTCCTCATGACCAGCACTGCTCAGATGGGGAACCAGTCCAAGAAGGGCAATGGGAATAAATTCACCCCACCCGCCCTCAAATTCCCATAGACAGATACCATTCTTTCTTGGACAGACTCAGGAACTGTTTCAACCACATTTAAGACACTTCAAGGTAAGACATTTTACTGTAAAAATGCATAAGGTACTTCCTTAATAAAAATATACAAATTTAGACAGAAGAAAGGACAATTATATTTTCAATTTTAAAGGAAAATATTGCCAATCATCTATAGAAGAAAAAAAGTTCCATTGGGGAAAAAGAAAAAAACCCCACACATTTATACTACTAGTTATAATGGACAGGGATACTGTCATTTACAGAAATACCCAAATTTATGGAATGATTCAGGCTGGAAAGGACTTCAGAAGGTCTCTAGTACAACATTCTGAGCAAGCAGCCAGCCCAAAGCATGCAAGGCTTTTTAAATTCTTGTTTAGAGTGGACACTGCGTTACCTCTCTGGGCAGCCTATTCCAGTGCCCAAGTGTCTTTGTGCATACATGCTCTGGAATTCAAAAATCTCTATAGCATCAATATTAGTTAACAGCATATTAATTTCTGATTTACACATGACAGATAATCAAGAGATGGAGAGAGAGAGAGTAGAGAAAGTCAAGTGCCACTCTGTATACTGGTTGGAAATAACTCAACGCTCCGGAGCACCAAAAGCTATTTTAAATACATTCAGATGCTCTTCTGTTCTCTGACATCTGATGAACTCCTTCTCAAGTGCATGATCTGAGCTCCTGAAGCGATTTTCTAATTAGTCTCCTCTGCTCCCTGGAACTGGATCAAAATATCCCTGGCAGAGAGAGAGCATTCTAATGCAGTCCTTCCTCAAAGAAGCCGTCAGCTTTTGCAAGACACTACTGGAGAGAAAAATTAAAGAATGTATTTGATGTCTAGCAAAGCTTTAGGTCTTGGAAAGTGACTTCTCCCAAGCATCATCTTTCTTGAAATTTATCAGTCAGAACATGCTGACTTTAAAAAAAATATACTGTGTTAATGACTTCAAAAAGAGTTTTTCCTTAACTAAAATGCTCAGCAGTTACAAGAACAAACTTGTAATATTCACCCACAGCTTAGGAGAGAATTGCTGCACATGTTCTACAGTCAATTCAAAAGATTCTGGTAATGACTTGCATACAAAGTCATTAAAGAAGATTAATTTGGCTTCTGAAAAACAAAAGACTACAAACATTTCTTCATATTGTTTGTACTTTCTTGATTCTTTCCAGCCACATAAGCACTAGTGACCATGAGAACTCTTTTAGTTGAAATCTTACAACAGAAATGCTTCAGATTTCTTCTTATTGACTAAACATTCTGGTTTACTAAGTACAGTTCTGGCTCCACATCTAACAAATTGTGTTTCCATAGTTGAAGAAAAGACAAACAAAACAAATCCATGTAAAAGTTTTAGCCATCTTAAATCAAGTGAAGGAAGGAGAAAGAGGAGCAAAAGTAGCCATTTTTTAACCCTTCAAACATCATCATCATTGATCTCCAAAGTGTCAGTTTTTTCCCCTGTCTTCTAAAAAGCAAGGGAAGTTTTTTCATTGCTAGTTAAAGTTAAGATTTAACAATTAGGTTCCTTTCATCATGAGGAAATCCCTTTGATTTCTGGCACAGTATTAATTAGAGGTGTAAACCTTTATTTCGAAATTAATTTTAATTTTTACGTACCACAGTCATCAAGAAGTATATTCTCAGGCTTCAAGTCTCTACAAATCAAACAACATAAATGTGAATTAAACAAAGGCAAAATTATTCGTCATCAAGTACCACAGAGGCAACATGAGATTTCTTGGTTCTGATTGAAGCAACTTTTCCACCCACATACAAAAAAGAGTTGTGAAGTTGATGGTTTGTAATACAAATAGTTTAATCAGAGAACTCCAGACCCACTTTCCCCCAGCTCTCTAATCCATTTACATTAACAAAAGCAATTTGTACTCCACGGATAAGAAACTTTCTCCACACAACTCTGAATCCTGATATGAAGGAACCACCAACTTACACCCAAATTTGTGCTCACAGGTGAAAGATATTTCTCCTCAGAATATCAGCAATACAACTCCCAAATTATAAAACACAGGTGTTTGCTGCAGTTTGATGCTGACCACTTGCTATATTCCACCCCAGGGTGTCAGAGTATCAACAAAAACTCATATTCTCAAGACTAAGCACATCCATTCAAACTCCACTCCTTTAATTTGGATATGCAATTTCTAAAGGCTGGATGACTGCATCTAGCTAGGATTCTTTGCAATCATATTTCTAGGAGTCACTATCACTTTTCTGTAAACATCAAGTTTCAAAAGCAGCATTTTTTAGCTATTAAATGCTAGCAAAACTCAGGAAATAGTAAAAGAGCAATTAATTCAGCATTGGAGTTCTGCATCTTCTTGAGCATTTGTACTTTCAGAACAAAGGAAGAAACTCAACGGGATGTTTGGATTCCCCCACACACAAGGAAAATTTGGGGAATCATTGAAGCTGAATCAGAAGCTGTTCAGAGGTTACTTATCGGATTTATCTTCTAGCAGATTCTATTGAGAACTTATATACATACATACATATATAGGCATGAAATACATGCATAAAATATATAATGTACATTATTAATTATAATAATGTAGATAATCAGTTATAATGTATACTGTTAATGTATACTATATATACATATTTGTCCATCAGAAAGTATATGACTGCAATATAGTCTCTTAGATTTATTCCATCATAAATATCATAAAGCCAGAAATAGACAAGTAAAAACCAGTACTTGGCTAAAAAGTCAGTTATTATTGAAATAGATTATTAAAAACAATATGTACATATATGGGTATGCATATGACTGTGACAAGAACAGTTAATCTATACAAGCAGAAAAGACTGAATAATGTAAAAGAAGCAATTTTAACAAGAATGACTCTAGAACTGACATTGTAAATGAGAGCAAAATGCACACACATACAACTCGTTCACCAAGAAATCTATATACCTTTTTCCCTTTTGTTCTGAAATATGTGTATTCATGTTAAAGTTTCATTATCTTATTAGATTAACTGTACAAAGAAGTCAGAAAGATACTCTGTTTCTAATGCTTTTAAGTCTGGGCAAACCTCATAATGTTAATAATTTGACGTTAGATACGATATTACAATATCAGAGAAATCAGGATAGATCAGAGTTTAAAAAAACCAAACAATTAAAAACTCCACATCAGTATCAAAAAAGCAGAAGAAAATTCAGCTCAAACTTTAGGTAGAAACACATCTACTTTAAAGCACAAAATATATTCTCAATTTAACTCAAGTAAACAAGTTTAAAGATTTCCATCTCCAAAACGGCCGACTAAAGCCCAACCTAAAACCTAATACTTAATAGCAACATCTTCTGCTTAATAGAAGCTTATTCTGGTCTGACATGATTTTGGTTAGTCCATAGTAAAACTCATTTCCAGCCAAAATTCCATCTCTTTAATGCTATTAGTTTCTTGACCTAGCAGCACAAAGAAGTCAGCTTTTGGAAGCATTCAGCTACAAGTCCTAGTCCTGGGATGCCAGGTTTGGGGTATCAGCCTTCTCCCTCTTCCCTTCCTATACCACAACAGAGGCTGAAATCTCACTTTCTGTTGGAATACACAGACACCCTGCACTGGATGACTCAGTGCCAGGGTGAGCTCAGAGTGAGAGGTGGCAATGTAATTCTATCAACAGAGGCAGCAGCTTTCCCTTATGAATCAGAGAAAGGCTGGATGACTGCAAAGCTCACAAAATCAAGAGGTTTATTAAAAAAGTTGAATAAAATTTTGTATTTTAATTTGGACTAGACAAGCACTAGTCTATTTATGCCATAGCTAACACCAGCCTTCCTACAGAGAAAATTTCTAGAGAGAAAGCCTTCCTGGATTTCACTGCACACATACCTGCTCTGAGCAGAGGCACGAGGCAGGCAGGGAGCTGCTTGGGTTTATCCACTACAGCTTCAACAGGCCTTTGAGCCTGATCTTTACCTTCCAGGCAAATTCCATGGCACTGTGGGTATGTATATGGGTTTGTGAGGAAAATCTAGGTGTTCAAGCAACTTATCTGATAAAACCACTACTATCCTTTAGGAGATGGATAACTCCTGCAGGAAAACTCCAGTAATTAAGTCCCTTTTGGAAAGCAGGCACATGTTCCTCACTCTGACTTATGTAAAACTGACTTAGCTCTAAGTATTACCAGGCTTTAAATGCAGCAGATGGATGAATAGCTCCACTACTGCCTCTGTCTGTCTGTTTGCTTATTTTTCTAACGTCAGCACCATATGGGAAGTCACAGATAGTTTCACAAGCTCCCATTGAACAAGCAAACTGGCTCAATTGCTGTCACAGGGCAGGGCAGGGCCCTCCTTCCAGCTCTACAGCTGTTCTTATAATCCAGTGGGAACCCCACTAATAAAATGGCTCAACTGACTCCAGGGTCCTACAGACAGTCCTAACACCACTGCTGGAAATACAATAATAATTGGGAAAAAGACACAAGAAGTACACAGAAGAAAACTGGTGTCAATGGAAAATTAGGGTATGTTTTTCCACTGTATGAGGTATTTTGCCACTGATGGTAGCAAATCCCAAATACAATACATTTATAACACATTTTAACATGACTGACCTACACTAAAACTGCCATTTTAGATGGACAGACACAAAAACCCATTCTCAAGAAAATATTTTACCACAGTATGTTATAGAATTAAAGTCCACCTTAACAGGTGGACTATTTGTCTATTTGTCTAAAAAGAGTTAAAAATCTTTTAAAGCTAGAAAACAAACACAGAAAGAAATCTTGAGATATGGCAACAAGAAAAAGAACTATTTCTAATTTCAGAGGAACAGCAAAATAAGAAAAACTTTCCTTCTGTATTTTCTTGTCCTGGAGAATGTAAAATACTAGTTACCATAATTTTGAAAAATAAATCATGTAATCAATGAATATGTGCTTCATTATGTTCTCCCTTTCCACAACAACATTGACTGGAGGTTGCCAGCATAACTTCTTTAGTGAGAATAAAATAATTATGACAAATTTTCCCAACCTTTTTGTTTTACTAAACATATCTAATCACTGTATTGCTGCTTAAATGTATTTCCATTAAGATGCAAGATAGAGAATTTTGATTGTGTAACACATCACTGTAATTGGTGACATTCTGAAGACTCCCAGGTATTATGATTAAATTTAAGACCTTCTTTTTCCTCTGAGTTTATAAATTCTTCAGTTTCCAACACAAGTACAGGTAACTGCCTCTCAGTTCTTCATTAATCTTCAGTATGAGCAGAAGATTAAAAATAATGCTTCTAATTAAGAGACAATTTTACCCAGAACTGGTTGTGAAACCACTTTTTTCCATGCTCATAAATTTAAGCTAATGTGATTTCTTAATAATTGGAAACTGATTATATGATAGCACCAAATAGCCATCAAGACTGCTCCAGAAGAAAGCATGACCACTCCAAGATCTGGAATCAAAGACAGAAAACACTAGGATTTGACATATGTGTTTGAAGGTCTTCTTGTAGGCAAATAGCTAAAAAGTTGGGCTTAAACAGGAGGGTTGTGGTTTGGGGGTTTTTGTTTTGTTTGGGGTTTTTTGTTGTTGTTGTTTCTTATTTTAAACAAACAGTTTTGTTTTCACTTGGGCAATGTGAAATGACCTACTTGTACCTGATCAGATCTTTCATCTGTGCTTCCCTCCTACATCTGTGCCAGAACACACCGTGTGACACTGTAAGATTGGCCAAATTCTCTAGGGAACCACATCCAATCACCAACAGAAGTCTGATTTACTCTGTGGCTTTGCTGCTTTCTGCTCTGCGTGTGTGTGTTGGTCTTCTGTACTGGGGAGGGAAAAGACTAAGACTCACTATATTAAGTTAGACTTTAAATCTTCTTTGAAAGAATCGGTACTAGGTATTACAAAGTAGGAATATAAAGAAAGCATTCTTGGTCCACCATGAAGTTTGTTTTGCTTGTTCTGTAATACTGATGCATACCAGAGGTAAATGATGTATGTACAGAAAACAGCAGTAAGATCATACAATCTCAATTACAATGCAGAAAGCTTCTGATAGTTTAATTAATTCAAAAGCAATAATGTGTTTATTGGAGGAACCTGAAATAAAAACAGAAGAAGTTTTTCATATGGACTATGACTATCATTTTACCCTCATGATCATAACATGCAATGCAGCCAGGGATTTCTATAGCCTTCTGTGAACTACTTTGGATTGGGCAGGAGTACAATCCCATATTCCTAAAACTCACTCGAATTAAAAATTAATTTGCTTCGTAAATCGTAACTTATTTTCATTTTTCAAACAAACCTTGAATCAATTTTATAATATTTTAAAATGTATCAACCATCCAGACCTAAATTAACAGTAAGAAGACAAATAAGATCAGTAATTCTGAAGGACATGCCATGAAAAGGACAAGAATTTTTTTTTGCTTCTTTTACTGTGAACTTGTTCTAGTGGAAAACAATTAATACATTCAGTGCTGAACAGACATGGAAAGGTACCAGTGACTGCAGATAATACTCACCTGTAAACAATTCTCTCCCTCTGCAAATCCTCCAGGCCACAGCACAGTTCTGCAGCATAGAAAATAGCCCTTTCTTCATCAAAGCCAGGATTTCCCATGTTATATATGTGAAACTTCAGATCCCCTCCATTCATTATGGTTAATACTAAACACAGGGCATCTTTCGTTTCGTACGTGTAGGATAAACTAACCTAAAAATGGGGCAGGGAGAGAAGAGGACCATTAGTCATTCACAGACCTCAAAACAACTCACAGCTCTTTTTTTCCAATACAATCCATATGTGAATCCCTTTTTTAAAACAAAAATAACAAAACAGGCAAGTAGAAAATCACTCCTGCAGAATACTTGAAGACACAAAGGAATACAGGCTAATTTGCCTGTATAGACAAACCCTACACCACCAGACAAAAACTTATGAAAATCTGTTTAGACACCATAGAGCTCCATCCAGAAAATAGTTATTGATGATGCCTCTCAGCTGCATATTACCTGTATTACTCTTTGTCCAGATAACATGCCCATTTACTTACTTTATCAGCACCTCAGGAATTTTGCATTGCCAAACCATCTTCCTGAACTTCTATGAGACTCAAAATTGCCCTACATTAAAGAAACTCAAGAAATTATTTAAGATCAAATGTGTAGTTTCTATCTCTAACCCTCCAAGCGACTGCATATTTCCCTGATTGAAAACTTGTCAACAGTAAAGACTCAGTACAGCTCTTTATAGTCTTTCTTCTCCCTGTATTTGGAATGTGGTGCTGATAGGCAAGGAAGAACACCAGGATTTTTTTCAGGTTTTAGGTAAAAGTTTTTAAAGTGGATTTAAACTTTTAAAGTAAACTTGTGTATTCAAAAAACCCACCCCACTTTAACACAATGTAATATATTACAAAATTTAACATATGCTGTTGAAGTTACAAATTCATTTTCAATAGAAAAGGCTCAGTTCTCTGATGATTATCTGGCAGGATCTTCAAAATTACCTACAAAGATAACCTAACTCGTACTAAGAGCAATGGAATTCAAACATATACTTAGCTTTCATTAGGTAAGCTAGCTGGGTTAAAATCAGTAGGATTTTTTTTTTACTCAATAAATATATTTTTAAATGCAATACAAGTAAATAATGGCCCTAATTCAGTAATAGGTCCAAACTCTTCCTTTGGAAGCATAAATCAAATACTAATTAAGAAAATGAAATAAATACAGAAATCAGCTATTTGGGGCAAGGATTCCTATTTGGAGGTTTTCATTGATATGTCCAGCTATTAATGACTTTACTTGTGACACAGGCATGACAAATTATCTACCCACTCCCAAGCCAGTATTACTGCAGATCTGAGATCCAGATCTTTCCTGTTGCACCAAAAAAACCCCATTGAATAGCAAGTGGAAAATAACTCGTGCTCAATTCTATAAAGTTATCTCAATTTTGACTTTGATCAATTATTGATTTAGAGTATTTACATATGCTGAAAAAAATGTCATTCAAAAATAGAAGTTTCACTGTTACAGTAATTCATGGATCAATTCAGGTACTTTCTGGATTCAATCAATTCAAGGCCAGAAGCCTTGTGCAAAAATAACATTAGCATATTTATACAAAAGCATAATTTGCAATAGTTTAAAATATTAATGTATCTGGCCAGCAAGTTCTTAATTTTTCTTTTAGCTGGCAGTATTGTATGGGATTTTTTTTTAATACATAAAGCTTATCGGAAAATACATACATACATATTTTATACATATGTATTTATAAATAACTTTCACTATCCTCTGAAACAGGTACTTCAAAATCCTCTCTGATCAGCAATACAAAATTTATCAGTAAATGGATTTAAAACCAAAGCAGAATGCATTTTAAATTAACATTTAGATGACAACATTTTGATTAAAAAGTAAACATTACCTGGGGTGAATTTTACTTGGTATATCTTTGCTCATTATAAGTTATTTCACTGCTTAGTAACTAGAGCTACTAAGAGATCATAATATACATAATAGCATCAGGTTAAAGTATTAAAACTAAGATTTTCATTCCATGGAAGTTCTATTAAAAAGTTAATTGCTTCAAATCCAAGACACCTCTTTAAGCCCTAGCACACAGCAAAGCAATATAACCTGAATCAATATACAATTAAAATGTCATGTTTATCTCGGACTATATAAGCAATAGAGTAACAAATGCTACAAAAATACCCAAGGATATAAAAACTCAACTATTAAACAGAGGACAAAGTTCCAGTGGCATCAGCATGCTGAAACACAATGTTCTGGTTGTGAGTGAGAAAAAAAGCAGGCAGACTAAAACCAATTCAATATTGGATAAAAAAAGTCCTCTGAACAGAACTACCCAAAATAACACCTAAAACATACTTATTATTGTATCGAGATTTTTCTCAACTGTCAAACAATCTCTAAATCAATTGAAAAATGAGTCTTGTGCCCATAAGCTCCTGGAAGAAACTGAATGAAGTAAATAAAGAGAGACACGTTTCTGAAAATAAGATCAGAAGTAGATACTTACTACAAACCTACTATTCACTTTTTCTAGAATTCTTTTTTCATTTAGAGCCATTGATTCTCCTTTCCTCTTCTTTATTCTCTTTTTTTCTAGCTTTTTACAAGCATACATTTTTCCTGTTGCCCGTACTTGACAGGCACACACCTGAAAAAGAAGGATAGTGTGTCAGAGATGCTAGGGATTTATTTAGAGTTTTTATTTTAAAGAATTTTTACATAATTTCATTTTCTTTTCAAACTCTTTCATGCTCTCAGAAAATGACGGTCTGTAAGCATCAATACAGAGCTTTCACTCATGAAACAACTTTAAAGGGTCACAAACATTGTAACAGAATAGAAAAAGTGATCATACAGAGGGAAACCCATTTCCGTTGGGGTTGAATAATTCAGTAAAACTGTGGACCTTGTGTTAGTGAAACAACTGACTGTGATAACAGTGTGTGAATAGACAAGCAGGACAGAGGACAAATATCCACATCATAATCAAACAGGTGAAAGATTATGGTAATTTAGTAACCCTACTTCCCCTGCAATATAGGGTTCCGGTTAAAATACATAGGGGAGGAAAAACTTCCATTAATTGTAAATAGAATTAATAAAATCTATAGATTTTATTTTAGGTTCATAAATATTCTATATAATTATTAAATACAAACTAAATTTTCACTGCCAAATGAAACTTCTAAATAGAAGCAACTGTTGTCAGTCAGTGGAAGTTTTCTCCAACTTTGTGCACAACCCACAATCCTGAAACTAAGACATTAAAAGAAAACAGTTTGGATTGACAACAGTTTGCCAGGTGATGTGTCAAATGTAGATTGATGGAGACAAGACTTAAACAGCCTCTCCTCTGTATTAACCTTTCTTTTTTTCTTAAGAATTGCCTCACAGAAAGACACTTCTATACTCACCTCTCCAAATCCACCTTTGCCTAGGACTCGGTAATGCCTAAATGTGTGTTTGGTTACTGGTTGCCTGATGAACAGAAAGAAACAATTACTGCAACAGGAATTACAAACTCAGTAATCCCCTCCCCATCCCAAGGTCTGTCTTGATTTTCTCCTTTCTGTTCTGTGACATATTTCTGAACAAATGGTCCCTTTGCCTCATGAAGACAGCACTGTAATAAGCTGAATTTCAAACGAAAGGGGTGCTCTGTTTAGAAACGTGGGCTCCCTCATGTGGTCACCAGATATTCCCAACAGCAGGAAGAAGAGATGGTCAGCTTGGTCCTTTGTGTTTACAGTTAGAGCCTTATGTGTTCTCATCACAGACAATTTCTCATGTCCTGCTTCTCCCTTAGCTGCAGTAGGCTGACATGCATTGCAATCACATCATGCTTACAGTGCAGCATTTAAAAGGTAAGCCATTTCTCATTTTACCTTGCTTTTTCAAAAAAGAAAGAGTTGTGGTATGCAAGAGCAGTTCAAGAGCTGAATTGTTAAGGTGCTGATGTAGTGGAAGAGGAACAGGTAACTGGAGGCAGTAGAGCTGTTAACCATTTTATGCTAAAACTCTCCCAAATGTGTCAGAGCAGGGCTATTCCATGGTAGTGGGTTTTTCTGCATTCTGTTTTAAATGAGTATTCATTGTTAATGCAGGTTTTTTCTCAGGACAACACATGGAGGTTCATTTAGTAGAGAATTTGAAGAACTTCCCTAGTTCTCTTACTGGCTTCTGCTACCAATTCAGTAAAATAAAGACATTGGGTAATTGGAATTTACAACAAAAATAATGCTCAAGCACCTTAATGTTTGAATATGTGATCACATTACCCAACAGGGCTGAACTGGAATCAATTTGTAGCAATCTCAGCCTTCTGAAAGAGTCTAGACACTTACTTAGTATTGATTTAAAAGCCCAAACTAGATTCTAAAATATATATAAATCTTACTATGTTGTAATTACTAGATCTGTCTCTGAACTGCCCTAAAAAACTGATTAGTTACCCAAGCATCCAGTGGGTTATAAAACTAGATTAATCTGCCTATTAACCACCAATGAGACAAGGTTTAAAACTAAAGGATGGGAGCATTCCCAAGTAATATTGGTATTCCATTGCACACTTGACAACCAAACATATATCTATATGATAATGAATTTCCATTTACCCAATACAAATTTACCACTTAAACACTACCAGAGAGATAGTTCCATTGGAGTACTGGTTCTCTTGCTATCCCATCAACATCATCCTTTACATCTTGTCTTCCAGATCATAATTTCTTAGACAGGCAGAGTCATTCATTAGAGCTTTACAGCATTTCTAGCATAACAAGCAGAATTTGTCTCAAAGCAAAACTAAATTATAATGCAAATATTATAAATAAACTTACTTTTCCAGCCATTTCCACTGTAAGAAACGGGAAAAATACACACTTTCTTGGTAAGCTTCAAAAGGTCTTTTGCTTAGGTATTCATGGACAATTCTAGCAGGAAAATAAACAGAAAAATAAAACCCATCTTATTCTGAAAAAAAAAAATGATGAAGCAGGAGATGCTATCAATCTACCAACATATATTCAAACCCACCCAAATATCAGCCTCTTGGCAGCTATTTTACGCAAGAATGACCTCACAAAAATGATGTCTGAAAGTATCTAAAAGGTTTCACACATTCTTTGGAGAGTGGTAAATGAAATTTTATTCTAGGATTCGTAATTGAAGTACTAAATGCCATATCCATACCTGAACACCAGGCACCTTGTCATTCCCTTAAATGAAACACACCAAGATGGAGGTGGGGAGGAAAACAATTAATTCAAACTGTGTAAAGGTATTTACCACAGAGAGGAAAGGGGATGACCTACATGAGATACTCCGCTTGAGACACGTTTCACTAGGTCTTCTCACACATCCCTTTCAATCTTTTAATCTCAGGTTGTTATAAAGCATGCTTATTTTTGTTGTCAGGGAGATGACCCAAGCAGTGACAAAACATGAAGCAATCCTTCAGACATGATCAAGCATGCCTTGAAGAACCAGAAATATGAGAAACATAAAGGCTTCAAAAGACATGTAACACTCGTAAACATGTACCATCCCTCCAAGAAAAGCCTCCCCTGCTACTACAGTGTGAAATCTCAGTCCACGACTTCAGAACAAAACCAAGTTGTATTCTTTACTGTTAACTACCACAGGAGATCCTCTAGTCAGCCATCTCAGTGGAACATAACTGTTGGCCTCAGTTCAACCTGTTTTCAAGAACCTTAAACTGTGTAACATTGTTTTCAGAAACTTTTCAAGCTCCAGTTTACAACTTCACATTTCAATGAGTACCTTCACCATGGAAAGAAGTCACTCAAAAGGTAAGAATATAATAAAGAAAAATACTATTTAACTTAACAGAATCCCTGGTAGCAGACACCAGTGTGATTTTATGCAAAAATCGCATTAAAGAAAAAGCTCAGCAAAAGTCAAACATCCAAATCACATCTGAAGGAAACCCAGCTCTCTAATAAATCTGTTCCAAATTTCTTACCTATGCTCTCATTTCAGAGACCAAATACTTCTGGGTGTAACAACTTCATCTTTCATTTTACTTAGAAACACATAAATTTCTCTTGTGATACTCAAACTTAGCACTAGGCATTTTTAACTTACCTAGTACAGTCCATAAAAAGATCCTTAGAAGGGTTCTTTTCCAGTCTTGCTTTACATTCATTTACTGTTTCCTGAGGTATTTCTGGCAAGTGTGCTGCAGACTTGACATAATAAAAAAGAAAGAAAAGCAACAATAACAGCAATTTTCTAAATCAGTAGAAAAAGTTTTGTATTCAACATGAAATTAAATCTTTAATACAGGAAAAGAAAAGGAATGGTTTGGCTAATGAGAAAAATCAAGAAAGTCATATTTGAGCAAAGTTTTTATTTATTCCCTATTACAGAAAAATGTATTGAAAGCTATTCCAGCTATTGACTACTTCAGTATCTGGGGAAACAAACTTGGCAATAAGTCAAATTTCTTTTTCTTTCCATAAGTCTACCACCACAAAAACAAGTTATCTATTTCCCTTGGCAAGATGAAAAAAAGGAGAAAGAAACATAAACACAAGTTGGGAAACTATTTCAAACCAGACCAAAGAAATGTGTGTGGGGGAGAGGTGATTTGCAAAAAACTGCATGTGACTTATGGTACTACCAAAGAAATACTCAGCAGAGATGTAGCAAATGTAGATTTTATCTGCTTTTGAGGCATCTTCAAGACCTTCTTTTGTATAGGATGACCAGAGAAGCAGAAGGAGTATCTATTCATAGAAAGCAAATGTCTAATTATATACCCACAGAAAAGTTTCAGCTGGATACCAAAAAAGAGACTCTTAATAAACGCAAAAAATCAGCTATTAAAGATCACCATGGAAAATAAAAAACCAGAATGCTCCAGAAGAAAAGAGCATTTCACTTTACAAAAACCTGCAGCAATTCTGCAAATATACAGCAAAGCAACTAAAGTCTGAAAGAAACCCAAGACTTTCTCATCTTCAGATCACAAAATTCTGAGTTAATATGTTATTAATTTTTCTTTAGGTGTTAAATGGAGAATAAATGGTAGTCATAGTAGTCTTTAAAGCAGAGATCAGTCAAGTTTTCTGCTCAAGTTGATTGAGCAGAATTTTAGAGCACACCTCTCAGAAAGATAAAAATAGGACCAATGAAGTTTGAAAGTCAATTGACTAAAAAACAAGGCAAACATTTCAATCTATTTATCTGACATTTTTCAAAACGCTTGAGAAAATATTTTGTAATATAACATATTTACCCCATTAGTGAAGTACGTCTCTAAAACTTTGAGGCCACAGTCTATACGCTTTTCATCTGAAGATACCTCATATTCTGCCTAGGGGAATGGAATTGAAAATTAAATTCTGTTCAGAGCTATTTGGCACTTAAATCTTTTACATGATGCTAGGTAAATTTTATCATCAATAACACAATACTCTTAATATAAAAGGAACTGAAGGCTCTCATTGTTTAAAATCTATTTAGATTTTTAGGCTATATAGTGAAACATATGAAGAACAGTCTTAAGGAAAAAGAAAAGCACATGGAATTTGACCTTTGGAAAACATACAAGACCTAACAATTAGTCTAAATGCAATTATAGAAACTGCATCCTAGAGGTGAAATTAGATCAATTATAATGAAATAGTATTTATGTAGTATTGTAGGACACAATGATCCAGAAGGAAAACAATAAGAGTACAATTATCAGCTTTTTTTTTCACTGTACTTGTTTTCCTTTGCGTATTCTTAGCTGTAGCCTTGGTAAAAACCACCTTTCTACAAGGTTAACTGGAAATAAGTGAGATCTAAACCAAACCCTACTTCATTCTTTGAAAAACTGAGTAGATACAAAATTTGTCAGTTTTTGACTTAGTAGTATCCGATACTGAGATGTAGAAAAACAGCCTTGTGCAATACAGTGCATTTTGCAGATAAACAACTGGCAGCTGAACAGAGGTAGCTACTTATGGAAAAAAAAAAGCTACCAACAAACCATCACACAGTTACTAAAAGTGAAAAACTCCAAGGACTACTTACTACTCATAATTTTAAGGAATAATCTAGAAGCAAACATCAGAAGTTTCAAAGACAAAATCTGGGGAAAGATGAGTTAGAACAGAGCAATCTCAAACAGCAACCTGTATTAGGTTCATAACCTGTGCCAACTCAATCAAAGCTTATTTCACATTTCAGAATGTAAATGCACATACCTAGGAACAAAGAATATATGGTAGACTTCCAGAATGGAGGACTGTATCATACAAAACAGTTGGGCATATTAGGACAACAACCATTAGGAACCTCACAGGAAGTTCCAAGTGATTGATCTAATCAGAAGTTATTTACCTTTATTAAGAAAACTAGAACACTGAAAAATGACACTTCAAGAACCAAACACACACACACACACACACACACACACACACACACACACACACACTACTGGGAATAACAGAATCCCTGATTCTGCAATTAATCACAACTAACCCACACTGACTCACTACTAAGTCATCAACATCTTTTTCTGCTGAGACATTATGGTATCACCCACTTCAGCCCAGTACTCAAATCCACTAAGAGTTGCAAGCCATTGTTTTTGCTACTTCCATTCCACTACAAAAAGTCTAATGGTAAGGAATTCTGGAACTACCAAACAACCTGAGCAGGCCAGAAAAGTTCATGAACCAAAAGTTCAGCAGTGTACTTAGCACCTTTAACATTTTCAATTATGCGAAAGAGGTCACTAATTCAATACAAATAGTCAGGCATAATGTTTTAAGAGGATACTGTAATTTAAAAGTAAGTTTGAGAGATGGCCTTTCCAATTAATCCTGTTACTCACAGAGCTGAAGAGGGAAGTTTGAGCTGTCACCCATTCCTTTTCATACTTAAGTAACCCTATCCCCAGCTAGTGAAGTGAGTCACTAGACTGGATAACTGTAATTCCTCACTTTAATTTCTTTCACTTATATTCAATTATTTCACAACTCTTCTTTCTGTAAAGCCAAGCTGACTCCAGATTTTAAGGTCACACCTTCTCAAGAGTTGGAACTTACCAGTCTTAGTAATTAGTACAGGTAGACAACATGGTATTTTACTACCTTGATTTTGGACTCCTGAAATAATCACACTGCTGAAATCACATTGCTTCATATAAGAGTCAGAAAGCCCTATTAATTAAGATGTCAGGCAGATATTGTATTTTGGGATGCACGTGTATCCAGTGATTCCCAAGCACAGTTCTTCACTGTGATTTTTCAAATGGAAGTTAAACGATACATTTAAAAAAAAGAAAAGTAAATTGTGAAACCATCCCTTACATCAAATTATTTTAGTTATGACAGTCTTCATTAATTCACAGAAGAAGTGCTGTAATCTACATAGCATTACAGGTTGTATATTTCAAAATAATTCAGTTTTTTCAGTGAGTGTAAAACAGTTATTTCTTAGAGACAATTCCACCTGAAAACTGACATCTGCAGAGCAAAGACACACCTGCCTTACAGTCATGCCTAAGGTTGTTTCTCTTTTGTGCTGCCAAAGACTCTGCTACTCCTTAGCTAAGCTTTTAAGGATTAAAAATGTGCACAGAAGTCGTAACCATTTGGGTACATCCCCAGCTGTCCGTGGTCTCCCCCCTGTGCTCTGGCTTACAGTCACTTTAGGATATGAGCTCCACTCTTCTGGATTTCCATTCCATCCATTCTATGTCTCCAGCTGCCAAACTCATCTCTGGAATTTGGTGCTAGAACAGTTCCCAGGAGTCACAAAAATATGGTGAAATGCATCTGGGAAGGAAGTTTAATTCCATAAAGATTCACTGACAAATATAAAGCAATTGTACTGATTTGACACTCAAATTCCTTTTTAGCTGATCTAGTGACTCAGTTCATACTCCCACGAGGGGAAGGTACAGTGAAGTGGGAGGCACAGCAATAATCCCATGGACTTCCTTACACCTTGCCTCTTTCAGAGCATTTTGCATTCGGATACTGTGTTTTGGGGATGCATGTCAGCTGCAGCACTACCCCATTTCTATGTTCTTTAGTCATTTGTTACCCTGAATTAAGAACAAAAATGGGTGGAATAGAAAAAAAGCTTTTCTTTTGGCAGCAATCTCAGTTTAAGCCTATATCTCATTGCTCTTGGATTAACTATAAGGGACAAAGAATAAAAAGCCCTGAGCTATTATTCTCTCCTCTTAAGGGTTGTTGTGTGCCTGCCTAATTTTCTCATTACTTTTCCCCTCCCAAAGAGGGTTTTCTCTGAGGATTTTTACAAAAATGGCTGTGGGCACAGTTCCTTCCTCCCCTCATTCTTCAGCATTAGATACTAAGATGCAAATGTATCGAGACTTTTTCCCTTGGTCTCTGAAAATCTGGTTTTTCTCCTTCCATAGATGGTTCCCTGAATTTCCATCTCCATTGTATTGTTTTTAATTAGCACATGCTGTCTAGCCTAGGGCTTCCATGCAAGTTGCAACATTTCCAAGCCTCTGTTTATAAGATTTTCAAGTCTGAGTGTAGTCATAATCATCCTACAGACACTCTTTCAGGCTTAAGAAGTTAAACAGCATGTCTTCCTGAAATTCCTTCTCTCTTTCCCATCATGCCCATGTTTGTAGCTCTGACCATACCAAGACGGCAGAGATTTTATAGTAAATATTAAACATTTTCCTTAAAGTGATAGAGACAGTTTTTTGACATACATCAGAAGTTACAGCTTTACAGTTGGCACAGGGTAGATCACACTATATTCTCATGGACGCAGCATTAGGGAACAGACACGTGTAGAGAAAACTAATAAATTGTTGTGAGCTAACCCTAGGAGGCAGTTAAGCCCCACACAGCCTCTCACTCACTTCCCCCCACTGATAATCAGAAGGGCAGAAGTGAGAAATCCTGTGGCTTAAATCAAAGACAATTTGATAGAGCAAAGCTGCATGTACAAGCAAAGCAAAGTAAGACATAAACTAATTTCTTCCCACTGGCAGGGAGACATTTAGCCATTTCCAGGAAAGCAGGGCTTCAGCATCATGCTAACAGCTAGCTGGCATGACAAACACCAAATTTTAACTTCCCCCCTTTCTCTTTCTTTCCCCAGCTTTTATTGCTGAGCACAGCACCACATGGTATGGGATATCCCTTGGGGTCAGCTGTCCTGGCTGTGTCCACTCCCAACTTCTTGTGCACCCCCAGCCCACTCACTTCTAGGGCAGCATGAGAAACACTGAAGGCTTTGATGTTGTGTAATTATTGTTCAGCAAGAACTAAAACATTATAGTTATCAACACTGTTTTGGTCAAAAATCCAAAACACAGCACAGCATGAGCTACATTGAAGACAATTAATCTATTCCAGCCAAAGACAGCACAAGAATCAAATGTTTATATACAATGTATAAGCAATTGCCTATTGGTAACCATCTTTAATTTCTCAGTGCTTACCACTGCATCCAGAAATTCGATGCATCTTTTCAAATCTGGTCTGGAATCACAGAACTGTCTGAAGAGAAGTCTTCCTATAGGCTGTTTGTCACAAAGCTGGCTATAGTCTCTTTCTGGGAAAGAAACAATAAGTAAATATCTTTATTTTTTTTTTTTTTTGTAATATCACTGTCCTTATTCCTATTTGAGGTCAGAACAACATCACTGAAACGTGAAGATTTTACATTAACATATTTAGCAAAGATCCCATAAATATGCAATGATCCCAAAGAAGAGCAAAACACTCTTCAGTCACATCTGTCTCCTATAGACTATCACATTTACTAAAAACACATTGAATTATATGTTTGAGTTTCATTTAGGTTAGGGTGCAGAAAGCAACAGTATTGTGAAATAGCAATACCAAAGCAAATGAGATTGTTTGGAAAGAGGGAATACAAGATAATAACATAAAAGGTTAAAAAATTATTACAAGACATTAGGGAAAAGAGTGAAATATATAACCACATCATTCAATTTATAACATGAAGCCTGTTTCTAATTCATGGTTTTGTAAATCTATCCTTTAGGAACAGTTTCCTTTAACAAACAAGGAGCTGTGATACAGCTTTTATCTTCTCATAAATTTATTTTCTCATAAATTCTCCATCATATTAAAAGTTCAATAGCTTTTTTTGCCAATTAGCACTGGGAAGCAAGACAGAATCCTTTCCATTGACACCACCAAACTGTTACCCTTCCCTCTCAAAAACAATCAGCCAGACCATTTAATTCTACAGGACACTTACCAATTGAGGATCTAATACCTTCACAGTGACTAACAGGTGGCAACTTCAGCATCTCTTTCCATTTTTTACTACGCCCACTCCGTTTGCCTAGAAGAAAAATATGAGTAATGTAAAAAATGATACTATGTCAGAATAAAATTAAACGTAACATTAACAGCATAAAATTAGTTCCATTCTGCACAGATGTGTCAGACTACCTTTCATGATTAGATAGAAATCCATCTGCAAGGATATCCAAACCAACAACAAACTTAATATGGAAGAACTTCTACATGAAACACTAAAAAAAATGCACGGAGTCTTTTGCAAGACAAATATTTCCCATTTTGGCTGTGTATACAGAATATCTCTGCAGAGACAAGGCAAATACCTAGGTATTCTGAAAGTTACAAACAAAACTGAAGCATCAAAGACAGAAACAAAGAAAATTTTGAGAATTACCTGTCAACCATGGTAAAGAACGGAAGACGTTAAAGTTGTGTAACAAAATACCAAGAACAAAGTTCTTGGATAATCAAGGTGTACATAAATATTCTCTTTCTTTTTCTAAGGGCAGTAAGAGAAGACCCCTCTAATAAATGAGAGGGCACAGCTCAAATACACACCATTTATTCTAGAGGATAGTAGAATACAGGGTACCAGGAAGAATTTAGCTGCTGTGGAATTCAGATATTTTCAATGCTTCAGATTTCACAGCATTAGTATTGAATGGATTTTAAAAAACTATTACAGTATTTTTCCAATTGTTTCTCAAAAAATATAGCTGTGCTACTTCTCTTTTACATTGGACTTTTAGCACATTGGCTTCTTCATGTCAAGGTAATCTCATTTACAGAAGATACTTATCAAAAAAGCAGAGCTAGACACAGGAACATAAATATATATATATATATGTTTGCAAACACAAAACATTTCAGCAGAAGAGCAATTTTTTGCTGCAAAATATTTTAAAAGAAGATTTTGCTAAGTGATACGGCCAGAGGCATTTCCATGTGACAGAACAGTAGCAAATCTGCACAGAAACCTTCTAAGCACACCAAAGCAGTACCTACTGTTAACCACAATGGGAGAGAAAGGAAGGGAGTTACCCCATGTAACCCGAATAGAAACCAAGCTGCAAAGAGGACTCAACTCTTTCAGAATTAAATCATTAGGGAGAAAGGAACTAACACTTTCAGAATAATAAAATAAGTATTTTAAAAAAGCCCCCCTTCACTCAAACATCCAGCTTCTTGAACAGTTTCACCATTTCAGTTAGAGCAGTCACAGCTTAGTGGACCTTAGCTCATACCCAATTTACATGATCCTAGCTAACAGAAACACTGACATCTCACTGTGCTGCTGCAACAAAACATTCTCAACTGTAGTATCCCTAGAAGAGCAAACAAACAGGGAATAAAACACCTGTAAACATTGCCCTGCAGACATTATTGCAGACTTACTGCAGTAAGTGTCAGACAACTAACACTTACTCTCTAAAAAAAAAACAAACTTCTGCACTTCATTTCCTGATATCACTTTGCAGGTCATTCACCTTCCAAAATGCTTTAGAATACAAACATATGAAATCTACTTCCCATCCCATGCTTCATGCAGTACCAGAATCAATAATGAAGTTGTAATTGCCAGCATCATTAAAACAAACTCCAACTACCTGAACAAAATACTTTTGATTTTAAGAAGTTCAATATAGGTGTGAAGAAAATCAAATCACACAAAGCAAAGAGCCTTTCCAAGAGAACTGAATACAAACAAAATCAAGGAATATTAACATAGACAGCCTGTACATAGACACTGAATAACAAGGTCTGAGTGTAGATTATTATGTGATTATGAAAAGCAATGGTCAGAAGTGTTAATTTTAGCCATGTAACCAAAAAATACACAGAAGGTCCACAGAAGTTATATTTTTTCTGTTAGAAAGTGCCCAGAAAGACTAATTTGTGCATGACACTGTACAATCAGTACTGACCAAGAATGACAAATTGACCCAAATTCATACCACAGTGCTGTTTGGAAGAAGTAAAACTGAACTGTTATGTACACCAAGCATACCATCTTCTGAAGCACAGTCAAAGAAAAACACCAAAAACACCCCAACCCCCCCAAAAAGAGAGGATCACTGGTGCATTATACTTCAAGTACAACACAAGAAAGGGCTGGACTTGTTTTCTTTTTGCCCCAAATATTTGGCCAGTTACTTATGATGTGACCATTATGAACTTTATTTTACAAAAAGAGACTACACACTAGAAGGCAACTGAATTCATCATCCTATAGAAGTTGATAAAGACTACATGTAATTTATTAATGACACAAAAGAAATGAGTGCTTAGGAATATCAACCACATCAACATGCTCTCTTTTCTCTGAACTGAATGTTCTTGTATTTACAGCAAATGCACTGTAAAAGTCTGTAAGTCTCAGTAATGTAAAGAGCCATTTCTGGTAAAAGTTATGGCAGGAGGCCAATTTGTTTGTCATCTTGCTCCCTAATTGCAAAATCCTTTTCCATTTCTGAAGCAGTTTAAAAGAAGAATCAAATCAAATTATAACAGTTGTGGTTTGAAAGTGTCTTAATATTGATTTCAGAGCTTCTATTCTGGATCTCATTCTAAAATACTTAAGATAAAATTCTTCCAGAAAGACCAACAGCTTACTTTCCAACAGAGCAGCAAAGCCATTAGGTTAATCTGCTTTATGGTTGACCTCTGTGGCTTAGATGAATTACCACTTTGCCTCTTTCAGATGTAATTGCTGGCTAAGAACAATGTCCAACTTGAAGCGACTCATCTTGTACAAAGAGAAGGGTGGATGCAGCAACACACCATTAGAGTGAGGAGAGACCACAATGACATTTGCAGGAACATGAGAACTCTACCTTCTTCTCCTCCCCAAATTCTTAGAGTTACAGTTTCAACATCTGCCTCTTTACAGGTTTTCTCTTCTTAAAATGATACATACTGAATTCAGTTAGGTCATTGCACTATAATATGGTATGGGAAAGATGTTTAGATGTTTTAATTTCTCAACTTTTTTTTTTTAAACTTCAGAGAAATACTTGAAAAATGTATGTAAGGCAAAGTGATTGGCTTATTCATCAGTAAAACCACAACTAGTTGCAAAAAAAAAAAAAAAAGAAACTGCTGTGGTAAAACAAAGCAATCTATGTAGAGAAATAAGAATATATTTCAAGTCATCAGATGGACTTCCAACAGCCACAGTGATCTTTCTTGCAGACAGGATTTGGAGACTGACTCTCATTTCACTGAGCACATTGTTCACTGAACATTACTAAGTCATTCTTCCTCGAGACAGAAAATTTGGATTCTGTCAAACAGAATGAAAATGGTGAGAAGCATAGTACTGTCTTTGGCTGATAAATGTACACAGACCATATGTGGTCCCATTCAGTGGCTCTTTGGGGACCTCTGTGCCTCAGCTCTCCTGCCTGTGCAGGGCAAGCCCCGCGTGTGTGGCTGAGGAGCCCAGAGCTCCACAGCACTGGGGTGCAAGATTGCTACAACTTCATTCTTGCAAAACTGAATCCGCAGACCAGACTGTCAGATACCAGCTGAGAAATTCATACTAGACCACACCCAGATAAGCTCTGAAAGCATAAAACTGCAACAAGATGACACCCTACAGCATGCCTTCAGTTGTATAAATCAAATCAATGGCTTCAATGAAAAAATGCAAAACAATTGATACAGAAGCTCTACATCACCTACAGTGAGATGCATGAAAATAACACAGGCACATACAGTGCCTTAAAATACGTCTTTCCCACAGCAGACACAGTTTTAGACATGTTTCCTAACAAGTTTAAAACTCACATGAATTCAAATCTTCTCCTACTTACACATTTTCCTTTAAACGACTCACAATAAGGATTAAAACCTTTCACTAAAAAAAAAATAAATTCAAAACATTCCTGTTAAACTGTGGCCTTATGCTATACAGACATTTATAAACACTGTCCATTAAGTAATAAATTTTGATGGTAAAAACTTACTGGGAAAGATCCACCTTCAAGACACAAAACACTGGGGAACTATTACCTCAGGTCCTCAGTTCAGACCATAACACTGGAGTAGCTCTGAGCTCAGGCTGGAAGACAAGTTCACACACACCACCACTTGAAAGGTTGTTGTGCTTCCCGTTCTAGAGACAATTCATATGGTACTGCTTTGAGGGATCACTGCAACCTTCTCAACCTTCTCCATTCTGCATGTCAGATGTGTTTTTCAACATCTCTGTTCCTTCAAAAACAAGCCTGGTCACAAACTTAAGAACTAGGTTAAATAGAGTGGCAACTCTTTTCTATGGAGAAAGATTTTTTTTTCCCCCAGACATACGAGATACAATCTGGCTGGTTCTCAGTAAATTCACAAGACCACCTGGCTGAAAATCCAGGTTTCAGCACAAGGTAGGCACCGAACTCGTCAGCATTTCAAAGGCCAAGGCACTTTTGAACGCAAACAGAAGCAAAAATGCAAGCAGTACAATAAATAAACACATCAAAGACACCTACAGGTTACAGACTGTTATGGCCTTTATAAGATAATATCGCTCACACTCCTGGATTCAAGTGCACAGAGTTGGACTTCAGCAAGGTAATGCTGGAGTCCTTCCGCTTATCTGCCTGTCAGCGCAGTGACACTGGGAGCAGCTCGAGCACAGCTCTCGACGTGAATATTTGTGCAGCTTGTTTATGTGCACAATCCCTTATTGTTCCCACAGCTATAACCACTCGAACAACTGGTTCTTCACATCGGCTCTCCACACAACTCCAGGGATCATGTGCACATGGAGGAATGCTGGTGCATACACACTGCACAGCTCCTGCACTTCCAGCAAGGAGGGACGGAATGGAAGTCTTGTAGCAACTTAAGTAAATGTAACTCACATGAACCAGAACTTGTTAATCTAAGCTTGCAATCAAACAATGTAACATCTGTGTATACATTTCATTTGGAAGTGTCTATAACAAATTAACGAACAGGATTTACTAGAGGGAAAAAAACACCAGTAAGAAAACTCTGGTTTCACAGACAACTCCTTGACAAACAAGGTGGTTTTTTTAT